GGCGAGTCAGCTGCGCCATGTGGGTCAGCTCCCGGGCCAGGGATCGAACTCTTGCTGTGGTGGCTGGTGATAGCGTGGTAGCACTGACACTTAACTCCTGTGCCACCAGGGAGGCCTGACTCCTTAAATATCTTACGTCATAAAATGAGCAATAACACTGAATAATTATGGGTAATATTTGTGCAACTTTGTAGGAAACACAGTGCTTTCACACACACTTCACACGATCCTCGCAGAGGGTGTTGTTATGTGCTTATAGCCCAGACAAGGAACCCGAGATTCATGGCTACGGTGATTTGCTCCAGAACGTGGGGTGAGTTTGGTGGTGCAGCTTTTAAAGCCTCTTCTCTGAGCTCTCGCTCACTCACTCTTACTCTTGAGCCCATCACGTGGCTACGTCATTTTGCTCTGTCTACTCTGTTCTTCAGATTACACCTTAATCTTACCAGAAAATCCCAGCTTGCAATGCAAGAGCAAATAGCTGGCAGATGGCCCGAGCCACCGTGCCTGGACCACGTGGCCCACAGGCCCACACACCCCCACTCTGGTGGAGGAGAGGCCGTCCCGAAAAGTCCCCTGGGGGAGACTGGGACCTCCAGGAGCACACGAAGGAGGAGACCACCGCCGAGTGGCATTCCTGACGCAGGAGACGTCTCAGCTGAGAGATCCGAGAGCGTCTTCTGGGCTCTTTCCTCCCTGGGGACTCTGAGGACAGCGGCTGGTCACCCAGTCCTGCCTGTCCATCTGACAGCCGAGACCTTGCAGACCCTCCTCAAGGGAGTGCGTTCATATCTCGCCTCACACACACACTGTGGCAGTCACATCCAGGAAGATGCGAGGGAGTCCAAGCGTGCTTTGTGTGCACGTGTGAGTGTGTGTGTGTGAGTGTGTGTGAGTGTGTGAACCTGTGAGTGTGTGCGCACAGGTGGGTGTGTTTGTGTGTGTGTGTTGTGAGTGGGTGTGTGCGAGTGTGAGCTTGCACATGTGTATGATCACATGTTCTGCATGAGCATGTGCTCGTGTGCATGCATGTGGGTGTGTTTGTGTGCACACGTGTGCTGGTATGTGGTGTGTGCACATGTGTGAGTGCACACTGTGTGCACTTGTGTGTGGTCGCACATGTGTGCTGGTATGTGGTGTGTGCACTTGTGTGTGGTCGCACATGTGTGCGCTTGTGTGGTTGCACATGCTTGTGTCTGTGTGCACGCACATGCCAGCGTGTGTGCATGTGGTTGAAGTCCGCTCTGTACCCGACAGAGCGCAAGCTCATATTCCGCAGCAACATGCGCTCCGTGTTGCTGCGACTCGTTCATGCCTGGAGTCCCTCTACGCCGCCGCCACGGGTGCCACTTCATGGCTAATATCTTAGCATTTGGTCCACAAATGTTTCTGTACTTTTCTCCTTCCAGTTGGCTCTCCCTGTCCATTATTACTGGGAGGCCTTTCTTATCCCTGGAGCTTCCAGAAGCACCTTCTCTACATGTAGGAACTGTCAAGAGTCATGGCGGGGCCACTGCTGAGCCCAGAGACCTACTCAAGGTTCCTGGGGAGCCCCAGGCTCCTGCCGGACACCCACCAGCCGGGGGTGGGGAACAACCCTGCCCCTATGGGACACTGTGCTTTAGGCTGTGGCCACGAGCACTGAGAGAAACCTGGATGCCAGAGCCTGGTGGCTCAGGCAGCACGAGGTGGCGCGGGCACTGCGAGGTGGCGCCGGCACTGCCAGGTGGCCCAAGGTGGCGCGGGCACTGCGAGGTGGCCCAGTCACTGTGAGGTGGCCCGGGCACTGTGAAGTGGCGCGGGCTCTGCGAGGTGGCCCAGGGCCTGCAGCTTCTGCGTGCCCTCTGGCTTTTGAGGCCGGCTCAGCCCGTGGCGCTGACCCTCTGTGCAAGCTCAGCCGGGCTTTGTGTCCCCTCCTCCATCTGCCCTCTCTGAGGCCGGAGAGGCGTCTCTGTCTCCGCCCTCTAAGGGCCAAGACCAAACCTTCATTTCTTCGCCGCTTCTCCAGTGTGGCCTGCTTGTTTTCATTGTCTGGACTCCAAGTCTCGACGGAGGCAACTGTTTCTCCTCTGCTTTGGTGGCCAGAACTCAGGTTCAAATGGACTCGTGTCCTGCGGCCGGTGGGAAAGCTGTGGCCAGGAGCTGCCGCTGGGGCCACTCCCCGCCCGTCTCCTGCTGCCACCTCGCTCCCGCGCTCTTGCTCTGCCGGTGTTTCCATGTGCCGATGGCGGGGACTCACTTACTCTGCATCCTTTACTGGACAGGAAACGGGGGGGCACCAGCTTCGTGTTAACTCCCTGAGCCAGCTCCCTAGCCACGAGGGCAGCGTCATGCCCTCTGCTTGCCCGTCAGACCCGTATGAGAGAGTGGTCTCTGTCCTGAGAGCGGTGGCTGGGCTGAATGAAGCCCCCAGCGTGAGAGGCCTTCCCCACTGGGCCCTGGGTGCTGTCTCCAGCACAACCCAGTGTGTGCCTGGGGACCCTGTGTGACGCTCTGCCGTCCTTAAGCCAGATTCCTGGTCTGGAAGTTCCTTTTCCATCTTGGAAGGGCGCCATTGAGCATCAGATCTCTCCCCTAGAAAGCAGATGGAACAGTCCTGTGCTTTTTCAAGGGTTGTGTGGACACACAGGCTTCCAGTTCCCTTGGGACTGGACCTAACCCCCAAAACTACATAATGTGAACAGTATTGCTCCAGACAGTTCCCGTTTGGGATGGACGCACCTCAGACTCCAGCTCACTGACCTCAGGGGAAGCAGGAGAGTCATGTTTCCAAAAATTTGAGCAGATCAATCCACCAGCTTAAATAACCTCTTGCCCATTCCACTCTAGAAGGCTCAGTATTTGCTGTATTTCCACATGTCTGTTCCAGTCTGGGACTAATTTTAAGGACTTGACATATTTCCCACCCAGGTTGACTGGCAGCGAAATCATGCACAAGGCAGCGGCTTGGGGAAAAGCTAAACCCATGCAGGTCTCTTGTGACACGTTATTAGCACGGAACCAGCCAAGTCTCGAGTAGTCGACTCTAGGAAGGCATTTTCTCTGAAAGTCTTGGCTCCTATTGAACAGTGGACTCATCTCCCTGCAAGAAACACCTGCAGGGCTCAGCTGGAACTGTTCAGTCACCGGGAGCAGGTTCTTTCTACTCTTGGTGGATCTGAGAGCTTTGCCCAGGGCCAGCCTTGGGCTTGAGGCCCAAGCTTTAATTGGGTGGTGCCTCTGTCACGTTGGGCTCTGCGCCGAAGTGCAGGCGAAGGAAATAGGTCCAAACACAAGAGGAGGAGGGAAGGATGGCCAGAGACTGGGAAGCATCTTTGAAGAGAGAAGCGAGCGGTCGCTCCCATTGCGTGCGTGTGTTTACGTACAGGTGTGCACACAGCTATAACCCAGTGCTGATTTCCTCAAGCGAGGCGAGATCTGAGAAGCTCCTGGCCCAAATTCTGCCTGCTCATGACTCGTTTTTTCAGTATCTTTAAGGGCTGAGGTGGCACATTTCCGCGGATGGCACACCGCCAGGGCCAGGGAGCTTACCGTTTCACAGGCCAGGCGCTCAGTGTTCAGACAGCCGTCTTCACGGCGTGGAGGGAGGCTTCATCCCGCACTTGCTCATCCGTCCTCGTTTCCCTCCCTCTGGCAGAATCCACCTATCTACTCTGCAGGAGAATCGTACCTCAACATTTGTAGGCGGTTCTGGTTGTCACAGGAACGGTCTTGTGCGTTCCCATCACCCCATGGACAGTGCTGTGCTGATCCTCGTCCTTGTTTGTCTCGTTCACCTTCATGACTTGACGCAATGGGTATTTCTCAGAAAATCACGTTACAGATGAGGGGTGGAGGCTTAGGAGATGGGGTAACCTGCCCTGGAGGATGTTGCCCGTCGGAAACCAGGCAACATCGGGCCCCCTAAATGGCGCCCACTGCAATTGCCGTGGGGGCCGCAGTGTGCGTGTTTCTCAGGACGGGATTATGGAGAGTCGTTCTCATGGCTGCTCGTTTTTGAAAAGCCCGCGTCAGCGGCAACACTGCGGGAAGGACACGCCAAGCAGTCCCGCAACTCCGTTTGACTGGCCCAGTGATTTTCCAAATAGGTCCTCTGCGTGTTGAGGCCTCCCAGGCTGAGCTGGAGGAAGCCCTCCACATCCCCCAGCCACCCCCCATGTGACAGCATCGCGGCCAGAAGTCCTGCCCCGAGAGCCATGCGCCAGCGGCCCCTGAAGCCAGAGATTTTGCTTTCTTACTTAAATCATAAGTATGCTCATTTTAGGGGGCATTTGCAGATACATAACAAGCGCGTATTTCTCTGCAGATTTGATTTACTTTTGCAAATAGGCTGTGATTTCTTTGAGGAAAACCTTCTGGAGACTAGACCTTTCCATTTTGACACTCCCTGGCGTGCTCATTCTCATCACCGTTGCAATGTCAAATGACAGGAGCCCCCGACAGATGAGGAGTCACAGCTCCAGGAATTGGGGCTGCCTGTGTGGGTCCTGGACTGGGAATCTGGGTTTTTAAATGCTTTCCCGCTTCGGGACACCCTGAAGTCTGCCCACTGACGAGGTGCGTTCTCACCTCCGTGGAAAGGAAATAACGCAGAGCTGAGATATTCATTGTAAGGGTTTAGCGGACTCATGGAGCGAGAAAGGTGATGCCGTGCGGAATATACCCATCTTCCTCCTAGACGGAAACACCTTATTGTTCCTTCGCTAATTCCCTTTACAGTGAATGAGATGCACGAGGCAAGTATGCTCTCCAGCAGAAGCTAAGGACACGTTCCCATGGTCACAGTATGTACGTCAGGCCAGAAGGGCCTAGTGCTGCAGACCCAGCTCCTCACAGAGAGTCCAGGACAGCTTGCTGCAACGCCAAGGAGATGTCTCAGCTGGTCTCCAGCGGTGGGGAGGGAGGCCGGTGGCGACTGTTCCAGTCGGTCAGTGCGCCAGCCCCTCGGAAGCTGCTTATTTACACTGCTAATGTCATTTGGTTTGTGTCGTCTCCCCTAGGTTTGCTGGCATGGGAAACCTGCTCAAAGTCCTAACCAGAGAAATTGAAAACTACCCACATTTTTTCCTGGATTTTGAAAGTAAGTTCCAAAAATTTAAAGATCGTCATGAGAGTTTCACTTTGTTATAACTTGTTGCTGGGAAATGATATATATTTTTACAACATGGAATACTTTTTGTGATATTATTGGGAGAAATATATTCCAGATTTTAGATTTTATAGGGTACTTAAATTAATCTCAGTGTCACCATGCTTTGCTTTCTGGATCTTTCAACAATCATTTGTCCTTCTTTCTTTTCCTATTTTGAAAGAAATGCAATATGTAGAGTTAAGAATATCTTGGTTGTTATTGTTAAAATGAATTTTATAATAATCTCAAAGAATTGTTCCAAGTTAGTTTTCTATCATCCTGTTGTTTTCTGTTATCTCTGTTGCTCTGTTTACTGCTTGCATTTTTAAATTGGGCCCTTCCACTTCTCACCTGCCTCGTCCCACTCAGCATATACAAGGCCAAACCCCGGGTAAGTCCCCGGCTCTCTCACCACGCTGGGGACATGTGACACCCATGGGGAAGTGGCACTTCTGTGCTTTGTTGGAAGCTCCCAACGCCACACACACCTCCCTGCTGCTCACCAAGTCTGCCAGGCAGCCACGGTGGCCCCAAATGGCTGCTCTTGGATTCTTGACTCTGTGCTTCCACAAAGACCAGTGTTGAGTTCTTTGCAAAGTCTAATTTTAAAAGCCTAGAAGGTCTGAACGTGAAATGTGCTGCAGGGACTTAAAGCAATGGTTCTGAGCAGGTGTCTCAGCACCACATTGCAGAGTCATGTAGTTCACAGGGCCCCGGGCCCCCATGCGGTTGAACCCCACTCCCCCTTTCTCTGAGAGCCTGAGTACTTCATCTGCTTGTCTTGCACTTTGTGCGTTTTCTTGAAAAAAAGTGAACACTGCAAACATTAATCTTTTCCTTGAGATGGGGGGGAGGGGGCTACAGGATTTTCACATTTTCCTTACACACTGTTCTAGTCTAAGTCACGAGCCACCAGACATTTCCTCCTCTTGAGGAATGATGTTGTATCTACAGACACACCGTGTTTGCAGATACAGATGCATTTGTATGGTAGCCATACAATCCTAAGTCATCGGAATTCAAAATTGAAACAAGGCTCTTCAGAGGGATATGGCACGGATTAAACACAGAGAGTGTGCATCTAATTTCCGGGAATGGAAGGGGTAGACAACTTCTAGCAAGAAGTGACATTTGGAATGAATGTGAAAAAATGAGTCTTTTTACAGATATACAGGAGACATTTTCTCCAACAGGTGGAAACTAAGAGGTAGCGTTAGGAGGGGGTGTTTGAAGAATGGAAAGTGGTTCAAGTTAGAGAGGGGGCCGAGTACTGTTTGAAAGGGAACAGATGCTAATATGAAAATCCTGGCTTGGGTGACACCACAGGTGTATAGCAGGTAACCTCAGGACTGGTGGTCCATTACTAGGGATCATCCCCAAAGAGAAGACGAAATTCCAGAGGAGCTAGAAAACATGGAAGAGCTGAGCAGACGGGAGTTTCAGGTGTGCTTATGCTTGCAGCAGTGAGTAGTGAGAGGATCCAGGAAGGAGAACACCTTGCCGAGGGAGGAGGACATCCATGGCAGGGCCTGGACTCTGCTCAGTTTTGTGACTCAGCCCTTAGCCTGTGTTGAGCGTGCATGAGGCACTGGGCATTGGACCAGCTGTGGGAAAAGAAACCATGTGAAGAAGCAGAACAGAACAGGCTAGATCCGGATGGTTGGGACAGTGGAGACTTTCGAGAAGGAGCAGATGCAGGATGGCCAAGTGAAACATTTGAACAGGGGGTGACAGATTGGGTAGTGAGCATCCCAGCTACTGGGACTCACTGGTGAGCAGAGTCAAGAATTATTGTTTTCAGTCTCTAGGCTGGCGTGCAAAGAGTTACGGAGTAAGCAGTGGGAGGCTGTATGTGCCTATCAGGAGCCTAAATGAATCTGGCACCTCTGTTTGGAGTGTTGAATATTCTTTTTGAAGTTGGTGATGGCACATAATTGAACTGGGTCAACTAGATATAATTAAGTTGGGTCAAGCTATAATACAAAATTAAACACATCTGTCCGTAGGTTTTCTCGTTGTCCAGATCGGATTTAAACTCTCCTGCGACCTTTGCAGCGAGGGCGACTCTTTGTGCTCACATTTCTGCGTAACTGCCTAACATTACTTTCACCACGGGCTTTTATACCACTACTCGTTTTTCTTTCTCTCTCTCCACCTCCTTGTCATGTCTCCATTTCCTTTTGAAAGGCTGGGAGACACAGGGGAATACGATTTGGTTTTGAGCTTTGATTCGAGGGACGGTGTACGGGAAGATGTCAGTCAGAAGTCTGTGGTGAAGCAGACATCAGCCTCCCAAGGAGGTTGCTCCAGCGATTCCCAGACTGCAATGATCCTGAGAAACACGCAGGGAAATTCCCTTTTGTTTAATGGCCTGTGCTCCCCTTCAGCCCCCCTTCAGCGGTCTAGTTCTCAAAGTCGACTACTTCGTCCAAGAGAGGCTGTGGCTGACCCTGTGTGTGGCACAGGGATGCTAACCAAGCAACCGTTTTTTGTTTTTTATTATTATTTATTTTTGTGTAGAAAAACTTGGGTGCAGGCCAGAGGTGCAGAGAGTGAGAGGATTCACCAGAGACAGTGGGGAGCAGAACAGGCAGACTGACAAAGTACACTGCTGAGGGGAGCAGCGGGCGGGTCAGGAGAGGTCTGCCACGCCATGTGGCCACCTCCCTGGTCAGGGGTCAAACTCAGGCAGTAACGGTGATACTGCTGAGACGTAACACCTCGGCCACCAGGGAGGCCTCCAAGCAGCCATTTGAGCTCCAGGATGCAGAGCTGAGGTCTCCAGACTCGAGGTCCCCACAGGCCACTTTCAGTTCTTTGCCCGTTGTGTAGAGCAAGCTGTAAATCAGAGCAGGATAATGAGTGACATACTTCCACATTGTCTCTTGAAGTGGAAGCTCCCCAAGACGGGTGAAAGTTTGAGTAGGTTAAAATGTGTGTGAGAGCACCTTGCTTCAAGGAAAATTTTTTTCACAAACAACTGGATTTATCCAAAGACTCCTTTGGGTTCTGAGTACATATTTCTCCAAAGACAATAAACAAATTGCCAATAAGCACATGAAAAGATGTTCTCTATCTTTTGCCAGCAGGGAAATGCAAATCAAAACCACAATAAACTAGATCTTCATGAGAGAGTTAATAAGAGGTGTGGTGTGGGTATGAATTAGAACACTCGAAAACTGCTAGTGGAAATGTAAAATGGTACAGATGCCTTAGAAAATAATATGGCCATTCCCCAAAAGGTTAATCATAACACTGTATGACCCAGTGATTCCACTTCTAGGCATATACCTAAGAGAAAGGAAAATGTATGTCCACACATTTCCTTGTATTTCCATACAGGGAAAATGTATGGAAACATTATTCATTTTATATACATTATTACAGCATTATTCAGAGTAGCCTCAAAGTAAAACAATCTAAATCCACATCCATGCGTGAATGGACAAGTGAAATGAATGTGGTATGTCCAGTCAATGGAATATTATTGAACTTTAAAAAGGAAGTAAAATTACTGATGCATTGATATCCTGAAATTATGCTAAGTGAAAGAAGCCAGTCCCAAATCCGACATATTGTATAATGCCATTTCTCTGAAATATTTAGAGTAGGCAAATCTATATACAGTTGGTTAATGGTTGTCTAGTCACTGGTGGGGTAAGGGAGAAATGGGGAACAGTTGGCAATGGGTACAAAGATTTTTGAGGAGCAAATAGATGTTCTAAAGCTTATTTTGTTGGTAGTTGCACAACAGTGGCAAGACAGTAAGCCCTTGAATGGTGTCCTTTCAATGGATGAATTGTGGGGCATGTGAGTTATAGCATAATAAAACTGTTAGAAGAAAAGAGGCTTTTAGAAAATCTTGTTTCCTGCTCTGGTTAATGCTGACATCATTCCATCTGCATAGAACGATGCAAGCTCTCTTCTGCCACTTTTAAATTTATTTTTAATCACAGCATAATCTGCAGACTTTGAAATGCACAGATCTTATGTGTACCTTTCAGTCAATTTTGACAAATGTCACATTCTTTCCAGACACAGAACATTTCCACTGCTCCAGAAAGTTCTGACACGCCCCTTCCCAGTCAGTCCCTCCTACCTCCTAAATCCCACAGAAACATCATCTACAGATGATACTGGATTTATATCTCAAAAAAAGTAATTAACTGATCTATTTTATTACACTTAATATGAATGGCATCATGCAGTACTATCTTTTGGGTGCTCTGTGTTCAAGATTTTGAGATTTTAAGTATCAGTGGTCCGTTCCTCCTCTGTTTTTTTTTTTTTTTTTTTTTTACTCATTACCCTTTTGTTCTCTAGCAGTTGTTTATGAATAGCTTTTGATGATTATGACTAAATCTATTAGGAATGTTCTCATACATTCTTTGTGCCATCATTTCTCTTAGAGAATTCACTAAAAGACAGAAGTGCTAGGTCATAGGACAGGAAGATACAACTTTCGAGAAACTGTCCAAGTTTTCCCAGTGGGATGAATTATTTGATGGTCCTACTAACAGTGTAGCTCACTGAAGTTAATCCGGATCTGCTTCAACACTTAATATTGCCAGGCTTTGCTCTCTCGCCATTCTGGTGGTGTGAGATGATATCTCACTGTGGTTTTAACGTACATTTCCGTGATAACTTGTCATGCACTTACTGAATGTTTTCTTACCATTTTCAGGAAATGTTGGCTGCACAAATATTTTGTCAAATCTTTTAATATTTCAGGAAGTTTTTTTTTTAAAGACTTATTTATTTGTGCATACAGAACTGGGGTACAGGCCAGAGGCTCAGGGGTGGCGAGAGGCTTCACCGGAAACAGAGTGGAGAACAGAACAGGCAGATCGAAGTACACTGCTGAGGGGAGCAGCGGGCGGGTCAGGAGAGGTCTGCCTCGCCATGTGGTCACCTCCGGGGCAGGCGAGAATCGAACTCATGCAGAAGTG